GTCAACCTGAGTAGGTCCTGTTGGGTTCACTGAGGTTCACAGTTGCAGTTTATGATGGTTTAACTTTTCCCTCTTCTCCCTCTTGCTTCCCTCATTCCTCGAGATCAAGCCCCAACAAACCTTCAGTGCATAAATCTCTACCTCATAATCTGTTTTTTTTTTTGAGAACTTGGCCAAAGAAAATGGGTGTGGGGGCAATTCTGGCTTATAAACTCCATTCCTCATATAAACCAGTATCTTTTATTTCATTCCATGGGGATAGCTTCTAGGGGCCCTAGCAAAGGACACACCCAGTTTATAAGAACGTGTTGCATTCAGAGAAGCAAACTGATTCCTGCTTGCTGGGTATTTATAGTTAATTCAGTCTTCCCAGGCCAGGTGTATTTTACTAATTAGAGGTCATTCTTACCATAGCAATGTTGCCTGGTAACATAGCTGACATTCCACCTTTATTAGGTTTCCAGGGGAACAGAGCTAGAAAGTTAACCCAAGGTCATTTTTCCATAGAGAAAGGGAACGAGTTTATTAACTCTTTATTCACATTTAAAAACCTACAAGTTCATAATGATAGCTGAAACAAACCAAAAATCCCAACACCCTCATTGAGAGGATACTAGGAAATGACTCATTATTTTAAAACCTGGAAAAAAAAAGAGAAAAATAATTTATCTAGACTTCCTTTTATGAACTGCACCTCAGGATAATGAATGAATTGATAAGGGGAATTTTCTCTTTATAGAAGTATCCCAGCTAATAAATGATGAAAGGTGGAATTAAGATTTCATCTATTTGCAACTTCTACTGAAAAGATGAATCCAGGCAGTATCATTACAGCTTATAAATTAAAAGAAACTTAAGAGATAAGAGACATATTTACCAATTGTTAGGAATGAGCCTCATTGAGATCATGATTTGAACAAACTCTAAAAATATTTTCATGTTATGATTCAATTGAGGGAATATGAACATTGCCTAAAGACTGCATGATAGGGAAAAATGATTATTACTTTTTTAGGTCTGCTAAAATAACTGTTTTTCCCTCCAAATAATCTAGTCTCTGGGGAAGTGGATAGAGGTTTAGATGAAAGCAGATTGATCAGGCATGACAAATGCTGAAATTGGGTGATAGGTTTATGGGGGTTCATTACACTATGTCCTTTACTTTTACATGTTTGAAAATTTTCATGGTAACTAATAGAAGCATACATAGGTTCACCTTTAAATTTAATAACCTCACTCCCGTGGATCTATCCTAGATGTTCCTCTTACAAGGATATTGTAGGGTAAAGAAAATGTCAGGCTTTTCTGCCCTCCCGCCATCAGGATAGATGATGGATCCTTGTCCTGAATGCATGCCTGATGGCGGGCACCTGGAATAGGGTGTGGGCCTAGGTAGATGGGATTCAGCTGAGCTAAGACTGTGCTTTTTTTTTTAAGGGCGGCGTCACGGGGACGCCAGCAGAAGCTGAGAAAGAAGCCGATGAGAGAAGCAAAGAAGCAGAAACAGAGATCACCGGAGAGCCCAGCTAGAGTGAAGAGTTGCTGGGGGCTGGGAGGCCTGCCAGCCTCCCGGCCCCCCCCAGCACCCCTGCCTGCCATGTACCTGGTAATTCCAATAAAAGCCTGCAAAACCACTGAGGACTCTGACTCCTCCTTTACCCGGTCTGCATGGGATCAGAAAACCTGCACCGTGACCAGTCCCGCCTTACAGATATTTAATGCAGCAACAATAACAAAAAGAAAAAATATCCTGGCAATAAATTGACTACCCAACAAGGACATATGATGAATACGTTATGATGCCATGTATTATACATGCATGTAATTTACATACATATATACAAATATCTGTATGAAGGCATATGCATACATAGCAGGGTATTTTGTGGGGTGTTAACATGGGTTACATGGGGCTAGGGGGAGGGAAGGTGTTCAGGGCAGATGGTAGTCACACTAGAGAGTTCATTCATGCTCATGGCATACCTACTGTGTTCCCAGTCCAGCCTGGGAGCTCACCATTTTGAGGTGAAAATGCAGCTCCTGCCCCTTGGAGGTGGCCATGCTAATGAGGGTCAGAGGAGGGGTGACATGAGTGACTTATTCCCAAAATGCCATTTGCAAATGACTTGGCTTTTATAAACCTCAGTTTCTTCATCTTCTTTGTCTATAAAATGGGACTATAGTCTCTCTTTCACAAGGATATGATGAGGATGAAATATGTCAACAAGATGATAACTGAATGCTCTGGGGCCACACTGCTCTCACTATAAGACCAAAATCAACTTGCTGTTATTGTTGAAGAAGAGGGCCAGTAGAAGGGCAAGGTGGGGCAGGGGAGCACTTTGGGCAGGGAAAGGTAAGTATGAGAGCTAAGTATAAAAGAGTAAAGTAGATTTTTATGGTGGTTTTTTTCCCCATGAAGAAAAGAGGTAAATTTATTATCCATTAGTTCAAAACTTTTCATTCACTGTTTACCATGGAGCACATCAGTGGACAAGAGACACCAAGACCCCTGCCCTTCAGAGGCTATAATCTAGAAGGAGAGATAGACTATAGACATTCAATGAAATAAATGAGTAAATGATGTGATAAACTAGAAAGTTCCATGGAAGGAAGTAAGAGCAGGGGATTGCGGGGATGCTGAAACAAAAAACTGGGTGGCATAAATGACAGAAATTTATTGTTTCAAATTCTGGAGGCCAGAAGCCCAAGATCTAGGTGTTGGCAGGGTCGGGCACTCTCTGAAGCCCCTGGGACTCTGGGTTTCCAGGTCTCTGTTCCAGCTACTTTGAGTCCAAAACCTTGGATTCTTCAGAAGATCATTCAAAATTCATTTATTTTAACCATTACCCGGTCCCACTGTTCAAGGATTAAAGAGTCAATAGAGATTAAGAGCAGCGGTTGGCATTGGCAGTATAATTCCAGTTTTCCCATGGTGTTCTACCTCTGTGTATGTCTATTTTGGTGTCTGAATTTTCCCTTTTTATAAGGTCACCAGTAAGATTGGATTAGGGGCTCACCTTACTCCAGTCTGACCTCGTCTTAACTAATTACATCGGCCCTGCCTCCATTTCCAAATCAGGTCAAACTTCTGAGTGACTTACTGGGTGTTAGGACTTTGACAGATGAATTTGCATAATAGGAGGGGAGACTGAAGGGCCCAAGTGGATGGGCAGGCAGTTATGTTAACTAGGGAAATTTGTCGAGAACGGGGCATTGGAAAAGAAGGCTTGGAGGAGGTGGGATGTAGGCTGTGTGGCTATCTGGAGAAGAGGGAACAGCCAAAGGCATCATGGCAGGAGGGTGCTTGGCATCGCCCAAGGTTGGCATCTCTGCAGCAGAGAGAGTGAGCAGGAGTGAAGTGGAGATGAGGTCAGTCGGGGTCAGTGGTGGATCATGTGACTCCTGGAAGCCTGTGAAGGGCATTGACTTTACTCTAAGCACTGTGGGAGCTATTGCAAGTTTCTGGGCAGTGTCAGTGCTGATAAGACACTGTGGATGGGTCAGGAAAGCAGTTAGGAAGGCTTGACTGAGATGCAAGTGGGAGGTGATTGAGAGATGAGAGAGGGGAGAATTGCTGCAGCAATAGAGAAGTGGGGGTGGGATCTGGTGCTCGAATAGAGGGATTAGCTTTAGAAAGCCACAGCTTGGGCGCTGGACCTCTAAAAATATGTCTGTTTTATATGCTTTTATATGATTTCATATTCAAGAATCTAATAAAATGCATAGTGGACAGAGGCCCTTGATAAAGATTAATTTCATTCTATTTTCCCCCCTTCTGCCCTAGAGTCTAGCCTTCTTTGCATCCACCCCATTATTCTCCATTCCCAACCACTGCTCTTAATCTCTATTGACTCTTTAATCCTTGAACAGTGGGCCCAGGTATTGGTTAAAATAAATGAATTTTGAATGATCTTCTGAAGAATCCAAGGTTTTGGAGTCAGCGCCTGACAGCCCAAGTGAGGGTAAAGGAAATGCCAAGTAGGGGAACTCCTGGGTATTCCTGTCCATTCCCCCTGCCTCATTCCCCCACTTAATCCAGAAAAGCTCCATAGCCATGATTTGTACATAAGGGCTCATTAAAGAGTTTTATTTTAAAAAGATTTCTACTTCTTTGAAGCAATCTATTGTCTTTTTTTTAAAGATTTATTTATTTATGCATACAAGAGCTGGGGTACAGACCAGAGGTGTGTGGGTGAGAGGATTCACCAGAGTGGGGAACAGAACAGGCAGATTGGCTGAAACACACTGCTGAGGGGAGCAGCGGGCGAGTCAGGAGAGATCTGCTGCGCCAAGTGTGTTGCTCCCTAGCTGTCTGGGAATCGAACTCGTGCTGCAGAGGCTGCAGACAGCTTCATAAGTTGTATCTTAACCCTTGTGACACCAGGGAGGCCTGCAATCTATTGTCTTAAAGCATTTCTCCTGCTGAGATATTTAAAAATTCTTCAAACCAAAGAAATGAATTTCTCACAGTGGAATATTAGATCTTGGTTCTGATCATTTTATTACAGATTAATTTTTGACTTCATCAAATAATAATGCTAAGGACAATAGTAACTAACATTTATTGAGGACTAAACTTGCCCCTGTGTGGGACCCTGCCTGGGAATTGCAAAGAATGAAACTGTGCATTGTCAAAGTCATGGGTTCATGAAGCCACACAGTGTTGGTTCTCAAAGAGCTCCTAACAATAGTCTATTTCCCACACTCTCTTGATGTTGGGTCTAGAAACCAGACAACCTCTGTTCTAGGTCCTCTGTTTTCCCATTACAGCCTCTGGAGGGCAGGTATCCTCAGACTAGGATAAGGAGTGCCATATTCCAGCTGTTGAAACAGAGGGGAGACAGGAAATGTGTACTGAAGACATTTGATGTGACATTTACCATCCCTAGGAGTTCAGGTTTACAAGCTCCGCCACATTTAAGAGACTTTTAAAGTCTCTAATTGCTCATTTATCTGATGTTACAAAAACAGTCTCCACAGATACAGACTGACAGGTAAATAGCTTGTTGAGAATTTATTTAAAATGATAAACTAACATAATGCACCTTCTCTGGAGAGAATCATCAAAAGCTCAGGATGCACCATAGTCTGTAGTGCTGTTTCTACTGTAGTCATTATTGGATGTAGTGTCCTGATTTTCCTGGGAGAATATTTCATTTCTTGGTCCATGAACTACTGTAAGTGAACCAGCTGCATCCTGTGGGGGACAAGGAGATCAGTAACCTACTGAAGGTAAGAAACCATTTGTGGGTGGTCAGATCTGGATGTGACGCCTACTCTGCTTCTTAGATCTGTCTTATATTGGGCAAGCATTTAATTCTCTAAGCCTTGATTTTCTCTTAGTAAAATGGAAATTAAAATAATATGTGTCTCACAGAATAGCTTCAAGAATGAAATGAGCCAAGTCTGCAGATCTCCCTGTGCAACGCCTGGCTCTCCTGGCAGGTGCCAGCAGGAGGGAACCACTCTTCTGGGAAACAGTGGAGCAGTGCCTTGCACCCCAATCTTACTCCTTGCACCAGTTGCATCAGCACATGCCAGTTTGGGGGTACATGTTTGTAGATTTTGAGTCGGTCTCATTGGGTTCAAGTTTCTGTTTGTTTACTAATTAGCTATGAAGCTTTGGGTGAACCAGTTAATATCTCAAAGTTGTTTGGTCATCTGTGAAATCAGAGAGGTGATAATGGGAGTAACTACTTAATAGGTCATTTTTACTTACAAATGAGTTGCAGTATTGTCTTTCATGATGTCTGGCATGTGTTACGATTTTCCATCCAGAAGTAGCGAACCTATGGTAAATAAAACAAATTAATGTGACATTTTGGCAAAAAGAAAGATATTTCTGGGCCTCCCCTGGTGGCGCAGCGGTTGAGAGCTGGGTTGCGAGGCTGCCCGCAGCCTCTGCAACACCGGTTCAATCCCCGGCCGCCGGTGAGGGTCCCACCAAAAAAAAAAAAAAAAAGGAAAGATATTTCTGTGCATTTGCCTCGTAGCAAAGGAGTTTGTATCTTTGGTTTCCAGAGCACAACCTACCATCTGTTTACCATAGCACTAAATCTTATTAGTGATTAGGACACTTGAGGCAGTTGGGGAAGAGTAGAGGAGAGGAATGGGGTATCAGTTGGCTTGAGAGACACACCAGTGAGGCTGGAATGACCTCAGGGGTCATCTGGCTCAACCCCTGTTCCTAGAACGTTCCTCCATTTAGAGGAATGTTCTCTAAATCGTTCCTCATCTGGAGGAGCTATCCTCCAGAATAGAACGTTTCTGACCCATGCTCCCTCAGCATCCCCCTGGCATTGAAGAGCTTCTTCCTTCTGCCTGAGGAAGACCATTTCAGTTCAGTTCAGATTTCTAGTTGTTGGGAAGCTCCTAAGTTAAGTTATGTGTGGTGAAGCAAAAGGAAACAATCACTTGGGAACTGGTAAAATCGAATGTTTGAGTCCCCCCTAAAATTATATGTGGAAAACTGATCTTAATGTGATGGTATTTGTAGGGGGGATGCTTGGGAAGCAATTAGGTCATGAGGGTGGAGTCCTCAAGAATGGGATTGGTGACCTTATGAAAGTGGTCCCAGAGGTCTTTATTGCCTCATAAGGGCCTTCTGCCACTTAAGGACACAGCAACAGGACATTAGCCTGGGAATAATAACTTGTCTCTTACCAGACTCTGAACTTCTGCTTGACCCTGGGTTTCCTACCTCTAGCACCATGACATATAAATGACCTTCATTTAAACCATTCAGTCTGTGGTACTTTTGTCATAACAGTCTGTCCGAAAGGACTGAGACAAGAACTGGACCTCAGAGCTGGGAACCAGTTTCTTCAAAGTATCACTTTCTTTTAATTAAATCATTTTAGTTGATTTTTATTTACTAACCAACTTCGGAGACTTTTTACTCCGAAATTATAAGCTACATTTTTTCTATGACATTTTCATGAGTTTAATTTGTAATAAAAGGCTTCTGAATTCCCCAGGAAGATAACTAATTTCTTGATTGAATCAAGCAAATAACGTATGTACTTTGTATTAATTCCAAGCTACACTTGAAACATCAATTTTCTCTGGTGCTCTTCAGATGAAAGGAAGCATCAGCCTTATTTCTCAGAACCCTCATTCTGTAAGAGTTCTGTTTGCTTAACAATAGCTTGTTTATTTGAACAATCTGAATCCTTGTCATTCTAGCAGGACCTATACCTTTATTGGGTGTAGATCCACCTTGCTTGGGTTCCTGACATGAACAGTCCCTGAATCAGCTCAATATCCCCTCTATAGTCATGGAGAATAATTCCAGGAAGAAGAGTAACTCTTTTGCCTATTGGGTCACTTGGATACAGAATCCACCATGACCAGGTCTCAATCTTTACTTCCAATTCAAAGAAGCCATATCACAATTATGTCACCCAGTGACAAGTGACAATATTTCCCTCTTAGAATCTAAGACATTTTTGGTACAAGAACTGGGGTGTAGGCCAGAGGTGCAGGGGGTGAGAGGATTCACCAGAGACAGAGTGGGGAGCAGAACATAGGTCTACTGAAATACACTGCTAAGGAAAGCAGTGGGTGAGACAGGAGAGGTCTGCTGTGCCATATGTGGGTTAGCTCCCTGGCCAGGGATTGAACTCAGGCCACAGTGGTGATAGTGCTGAGATGTAACTCCTAGGCCATCAGGGAATCACCTGACTTTTTAAACTAGTAAAGCCCAAAGGTAGAGTGGCAGGAAGTAACACTTCTGCAAATAGTTTAGCAGGTATAATAATGAGAAGTCTGAGTCATTCTTTTACCTTTTGATTCTTAGTCACATGTGCACTAATGATGGGAGATCTTCCACATATTGAGTGTAGGTTCCTTTTAGGATTGTACACCAGCCTTACAAGGTATTGTTTCCCAACTGACTCCATAATGAGTCTTTGACAGGACATTATACCATTCTTGCTGTCCAGTTGCTTCTAGGTATGTGGTAAGAATCATTTGAATTCCATGAGCATCAGCCACTGTTGCATTTCTTTTACTGTGAATATGAGTTATTGGTCAGAATCCATGCTGTGAAGATGGACAGTGAATGAATATTTCTTAGGGTCACTGGTGGCTGTGGGCATGATAGGCTGACCGATGTTTGTTGGAAGGGCCTGGAGCAGTGAGGTCAAATTATTGTCCCTCTATGATGGAAGGGCAACTTTATAATCACCCAGCCACCAAGTGACTGGATGCTTCCCCAGGGCATGGTGCCATATTGGCTTTCTAGCATTGATCTCTGCTATTGACAAGTCACCACACAGCAGAGCATATGAGCAGATAAGTCTTGGTGGGGTGGGGTGGGCATGTTGAACTCATACATAACTTACATCCTTGTGACTATGTTCAGGCGATCATTGAGCAAGTGCTGCAGTGACTAGGGAAAAGCATCAACAGGTTTGCTTTTCCCACATGAGCCTCCTCTGTGTGAGCAATCACATAGGACACTAATATCCATATTTCATATTTATTTTAGAGAAGTCTGTCCACATACCCTCCTCCTCGACCTTCCAGTCATCAATCCTTTGCTTTCCAAACACAGACCTTATAGCCAAACCACTAACCACTGCCTATGCATTTGTAGTCTTGAAGTTTTCATAAGGTGATTCATCAGGCTTCTTCCTGACAGACCTAGAGTATTTTGAGCTATATAGACACATCACTTATTTAGTAGACTGTCAGCCTATTTCTTTCCTAAGGATGTTGTGATCAATTAGCCATTACCAAAAGTCCCATAGTGTCAAAACCTTCTGATAGCCACTTTATCTCAGTGTCCCAGTATGGTGATTATACCAACCTTGTTTCTGGTGATTAAGTTCTACCGTCTGACCTTGTTACTTCCAGATCCCATTATTTCCATTAAAATAATGCAGTCATTAAAATGGCAGTGGCATTGCATATGCTATGTTAAAATTATTACTAAAATAAGTTTTTGATTATATTATAATTAAATTTATTTTGTATTTCATTTTCCAATTGCTTGCTGCTGCACTTGATTTTTGTATATTGAATTTGAGTGCTAGGTCCTAGCTAACTTTAATTATCAACCCTAATAATTTCATTGCAGATTTCTTAAGTTTTTCTATACAATCATATCATTTTGTGCCTAATATTTTACTTTTTTCTTTTTATTATTTTTAAATTTTATTCCACTGGCTAGGACTTTAGTACAATGTTGAATAGAGGTATTAGTAGAGGACATTCTTACCTTGTTCCCAGTCATAGGGGGTGGTGTTCAGTCCTTTCTGACAGAATGATAGAATGTAATGGTGAGTGTGGTTTTATTGATGTTGATTGTAGTTTTTAAAGTCCCCTTTCCTTGTTTTACAGTTATTAATGGATGTCATTTTGTCAAATAATTTTCTGCTTTTGTTGAGACAATTGAATGGTATTTTCTTCTATATTTTCTTAATCTACCAATGAGACCACCTGCCCTTTGAATTTTCTTTGTAGGAATTTTAAAAATTATAAATTCAGTGCCTGCATAGTTATAGACTATTCATATTTATATTAAATCTTGTCAGTGTTGGTAGGATGTGTATTTTTTAAAATTGTATTATTTATCATTGATTTAAACTCTGGATTCTCTTATCTTCTTCTGAATATAGACTTTATTTTTTATTATTTTTTAAAGATTTATTTACTTATGCATGCAAGAGCTGAGGTACAGGCCAGAGATGTGGGGGGTGAGAGGATTCACCAGAGACAGAGTGGGGAACAGAACAGGCAGACTGACTGAAATACACTGCTGAGGGGAGCAGTAGGCCAGACAAGAGAGGTCTGCTGTGCCATGTGGGTTGCTCCCTGGCAGGCCGGGAATTGAACTCGTGCTGCAGAGGCTGCAGATTGCTTCACAAGGTGCTTAACCCCTTGTGCCACTAGGGAGGCCCTGAAGATAGACTTTAGAGTATTATTTTTGGTTGGACTTAAACCCCAAATTTTGTCTCTCTAATGGTGAATAACAACTGAAATATGCACTTAGTTCCTCCTGCCTTCCAACTGTTGCTTTCTGCCAAGACTCCAGGAGTTTTCTCCCACCCCTGTGTAATTCATTTGCTAACTGATAATTTGGGAAACCCCTCTGTGCAGACCATAGAGCTTTGTGTCTGCAGCAACTTTGCTCTCCAACCACCCTGAACTGCATTCTGAGTCCTTAGGCTACAGCATAGTGGCTGTTTACTTGACTTCCAACTCCACTGTGTATGGATTGGGAAATTGCCTACAGGTTTGAAAATCTGTACAAATGACATCCAGTGCTGGCCCCTTTTATCAGGATTCTCCAGTTCCCACCAGCTTTTTATTGTTCTTAAATGCTTTCAGATAGATTAGTTTTCCCCCTAAGTTTGTAATTGTTATCTGCAGAGAGTATATTTCCTAAAAACTATTCTTGTTATAGAAACAGAATTCCCATAACTTAAATTTTTAATTTAAATTTCCCCATAAAATACATACACCAATTCACCAAGTTTTTGATGCAGGTCCATGCCATTATCTTTGAGTAGGTATTTATTTTGGTTTATGTGCACAGTTTCCAGTTTGGATTTCTTCAAAAGTAGCATAAGAACCTTAATCACTTGTGAGGTACAAAATCTGTCTTTGTAGACATAGGTTCAACATGGCAATTATGCTCACCTGATTTTAACAGGCCATGGATGGCTTCAGCAGCATCTAGAAATGCAGGCCAGCAAACACTGTAGTCCACGGCCAGTTACACTGCTCTCATGGTGTCCCCACTCAGTGAAGAGTCAATTTTGCATTGTTTTGATTGACAGCTCAGGTGCTAGGGAAGGAGAATACAATTGTGGTGTGAGAGTAAGACTCTATTTTCCAATTACGGATGCAACAATTCTCCCATCCTACACAGTCTTCTTAAAACGTAAGTCTGTGACTTCTTACATCCAGTGTTAGGGACTTTATTCTCCTCCTTGCGGCCGGCTCAAGGACTTAATTTTTTTTTCTTTAAATATGAGGGTTATCTGTCCCTCAAATATTTACTAGAATTTGTCACTTTATAGAGGTGTAGTATTTTAGACATATGTGAGATGGTGACAGGCTAGTTTGTTGACCTATTTCTTAGTTTCTAACATGGTTTTCTCCTTAATTTGATAGTTTGAAATTTGTATTTTCTTTGAAAACCATACATTCCATTCACATTTTCAGTTAGTGATGAAAAATATTCTATGTATTTTTGGATTTTTTAAATATTATATTTTCTACTTTATTTATTATTCTACTTTATTTACTTTATTATTTATTTATTATTTTCTAATTTTATAACTTTGTGCCTTTTCTCTTTAATTCTTTATTAGGTTGCCTAATTAGTATTAGTTATAGAGAATTTTTTCACTGAAGTACCTGCTTTTAATACACTTACTTCTATTTGTTGATCACAAATTCATTGCGTTTTGAGTTTACATTTTCTCTAAACTTTTTTCTTTTCCTTAACTTTCTATGTTGAATGCTTTTTTATGTTCATTCTTGTTTGTTTTGTAATAAAAAGTTCTGAGGTTATGAATTTCCCTCTAGGTACAATTTTGAATGTATCTCAGTTCTAATTTGTAAGGCTATTATTTTATTTTTTTAGATATTTGACAATTGCAATTTATCCATTATCTCTGACTCAATAGTTAATTAGGAGAGATACTTTCCCCTAATTTTCAAGTGTTTGGCTTTTCTATTTCTATGTTTATTACCTATTGTTTCATTGTAGTGCAGTCTTAGATGTTGTTCGCATTATAACAGTTTCTTGGAATTTATTTCTAAAAGATGATAATATTTATAAATGCACCATAGTAACTTAGAAAGACATGATTTTAATTTTGTTGTTCACATATTTTGTATCCTTACTTATTTTAATGTACGTTATCTGTCAAGGATCTAAAGAGGTATATTAAAACCTTTTATTACTTTTATATTTTTGTCACTTTCTTTTTCTATTTCCTATGATTTTGCATTGCAAATGTTGATGCTTCATTATTTGATTCTTAATTGCTCACAACAGCATTATGTCTACTGTGGGTTGTAGACTTTATCATTACAAAGTGACCACTTCTGCTCACATATAATATTTTTGATCTTGAATTCAACTCCAAGAGTAGGATCACAATTCCTGCCTTTTCTCCATTTATGCTTTTGTTCTGGGTTAGGAAACTGGTTAGGGAGCTCTCTCTCAACCCTGTCTGTACTGTTTCCCCATGTGTTGGAGGACGGTCTCCTTCAGGGAGTCCCTGCCTCTCCCTTGGCCCACCCTAGCCCAGTGTACCATCTCTCCTAGTGAGAGCCTTTCAGATCCCACTCTGTTGTTTTTTTTCCCAAGATTTATTTTTATTTATGTATACAAGAACTGGGGTACAAGCCAGAGGTGCGGGGTGGGGGTGGGGAGAGGATTCACCAGAGACAGAGTGGGGAACAGAACAGGCAGACTGACTGAAATACACTGCTGAGGGGAGCAGTGGGCGAGACAGGCGAGGTCTGCTGCACCATGTGGATAGCTCCCTGGCCAGCCTGGGATCAAACTTATGCTGCAGAGGCTGCAGATAGGTTCACAGTGCTGTGCTTAACCCCTTACGCCACCAGGGAGACCCCCCACTCTGTTTTCAAGTTTGCTAAGCCCTGGAAGCCCTAGCGAATAAGATACAGACCCTGGGTCTTCAAACACCCTCATGTTAGTGGAGACAATTAGGGTAAGAAGTCACAGCACAGTACAGCAAGATGCAGCCTCTGCTTTATCTAAGTAGATGTTGTGGACCCAGACAAAGGGCACCTCCCCAATCCCATCTTCCAGAAGATGATATAGATGACATCTGGCCTGGATAGGAGTTAGCCAGAGAAATGACAAGAAATATGTAGGTAATCAAGACAAAATGCAATAATGAAAGGCCTGGATAGGTGTTTATGTTGCTATTTCACAAAGAAGATAGTTGAGTTTCAAAAAAGTGAAGTAATTAGCCCTAGGTAATAGGATCAAGATTTGATTCTCGGTCTTTCCCACTCCAGTGTGTGCCACTGACCCAAATACCGCTTCCCCTTCAGTGACATTCCATTTGCTCAACTTTCATGTACCTATATTTTAGTTATCATGCTCTTTTCTCTAGTAACAACGTATTCACACGGAGGAGCA